GATCATGAGGAAGGTGAGGGATCAGCCCAGAACTACACGGCAGGACCTGGTCAATGACCTGAAGAGAGCTGTGACCACAGTCTCAAAGAAAACCATTAGTAACACACTACGCCGTCATGGATTAAAATCCTGCAGCGCACGCAAGGTCCCCCTGCTCAAGCCAGCGCATGTCCAGGCCCGTCTGAAGTTTGCCAATGACCATCTGGATGATCCAGAGGAGGAATGGGAGAAGGTCATGTGGTCTGATGAGACAAAAATAGAGCTTTTTGGTCTAAACTCCACTCGCCGTGTTTGGAGGAAGAAGAAGGATGAGTACAACCCCAAGAACACCATCCCAACCGTGAAGCATGGAGGTGGAAACATCATTCTTTGGGGATGCTTTTCTGCAAAGGGGACAGGACGACTGCACCATATTGAGGGGAGGATGGATGGGGCCATGTATCGCGAGATCTTGGCCAACAACCTCCTTCCCTCAGTAAGAGCATTGAAGATGGGTCGTGGCTGGGTCTTCCAGCATGACAACGACCCGAAACACACAGCCAGGGCAACTAAGGAGTGGCTCCGTAAGAAGCATCTCAAGGTCCTGGAGTGGCCTAGCCAGTCTCCAGACCTGAACCCAATAGAAAATCTTTGGAGGAAGCTGAAAGTCCATATTGCCCAGCGACAGCCCCGAAACCTGAAGAATCTGGAGAAGATCTGTATGGAGGAGTGGGCCAAAATCCCTGCTGCAGTGTATGCAAACCTGGTCAAGACCTACAGGAAACGTATGATCTCTGTAATTGCAAACAAAGGTTTCTGTACCAAATATTAAGTTCTGCTTTTCTGATGTATCAAATTCTTATGTCATGCAATAAAATGCAAATTATTACTTAAAAATCATACAATGTGATTTTCTGGATTTTTGTTTTAGATTCCGTCTCTCACAGTTGAAGTGTGCCTATGATAAAAATGACAGACCTCTACATGCTTTGTAAGTAGGAAAACCTGCAAAATCGTCAGTGTATCAAATACTTGTTCTCCCCACTGTATATAACTTTTTCTAAATTACGAAATATTAGATCAACATACCCCACGTTTCCCTATAGTGTTTGGTTCATCCAGGCCATGTAACAAGCAGCATCAGTGTGAACCACAGTATGTGAGCGGAGTTGAGCGGTTGGAAATCCTGCTCATTTCTCATGGAGCGGTGCTTGTGCACTGCACCGGCGCTCCACGTCCTTTCCAACTCGCTCTGTGCTCACAGGAAATAAAACTGCTCCAAATTCGCTCCATTCTTTAAAATCACAATTTAACCAACACCCATCTATTTTTTTGACTACCTGGACCTACCATTTGGTTTTGAAGTATTGAAAACAAAGCATATGATTTGAATGAAAAGTATTTGAATAAACATGAAAAGGTGAATGTAAGAAGTGCACATCATTTCGAATAGGCTACATGTTATATTAAACAGCATATAAACACTAAATAGGTCAGAAGCCAGACAGGGAGCCTAAGAAGGCACGAAAATGAATTATTTAGGCTATATTATTTATATTATTTCAAGGCTATAGTCTACAAAGAAATACATTGTGAAGCATTTGCAAGTGTGACAATAGGCTGGTAGGGACATAAAGCGCTCAGCATTTAAACAATATTTATTTGTATGAAATCATTATAGTCTATACATTTCGCATATAAGCTGTGACTTACTTAAAATGAAATACAAATGAAACGAAAAAGGAACATTATTGCCTTTGAATTTATTTTTAGAATATATTTTTAGAAACACGAGTTTGGTGTGTCTGTGGCTTCAGGCTCATGCAATGGTGCCTGGAGAGCAGGCCAGCAGCGGGGATGAGAAACACTTGCATAGCCACTGGGGATGCTAAACATCCTTTCGGCCATTCTTGGCAGGTTGGGCAGATATGCAGAGTTTTTTTATATATATAGGTAGACCTAAAGGTTTTTAGGCAAAATAACCCAATCAAAACGGAAAGCTTCTTGAACGTGGGAATATGCCAGGCCTATTGGGCCAACATCAATTATGGCCTATTGTATAGATTGTAGAACAAAAATGAACGAAACGTTTAAGAGATCAGATTTTTAGTTTATAAATACTTTGTTACAATGACACACTTAGTTATCTACCCACCTCGTTCCTTTCTTTTAGCATGTGCATGTAGTACACCATCATGCTTTCAGGACACGTGTCTTTTCACAGTCCATTATGATTATTTAGTTGTGGACTCTACATCACCCCACTCCCTCTCTTGTTCTTGGTCCTCATCTTTGTAAGTCACCTTGATTTTGCACCTGTGTGTTTTATCAGTTTCTTTTTAAAAATATTTAGCCAACTCCATGACAGTAGCTAAAGCTAGGGGCTATAGCAGCACACAAGTAGACTACAAATGCATGCTGGGCCGGGCATGCCTGAGCTCGTGAAGTGAGCGTTACTGGAGCGAAATTGGAGCGGCATTGTTACAGGTGTCAAGCTTATGGTCAAGAAGTGTGTAGGAGGGAGGTTCCTAGGTGTGAGAAGTGTGCAGAAGGGCATGAGACAAAGGGATGTGTAGCATTGGGGAAAGTAGTGGTACAGTGGGGAGAACAAGTATTTGATACACTGCCGATTTTGCAGGTTTTCCTACTTACAAAGCATGTAGAGGTCTGTAATTTTTATCATAGGTACACTTCAACTGTGAGAGACGGAATCTAAAACAAAAACCCAGAAAATCACATTGTATGATTTTTAAGTAATTAATTTGCATTTTATTGCATGACATAAGTATTTGATACATCAGAAAAGCAGAACTTAATATTTGGTACAGAAACCTTTGTTTGCAATTACAGAGATCATACGTTTCCTGTAGGTCTTGACCAGGTTTGCACACACTGCAGCAGGGATTTTGGCCCACTCCTCCATACAGACCTTCTCCAGATCCTTCAGGTTTCGGGGCTGTCGCTGGGCAATATGGACCTTTCAGCTCCCTCCAAAGATTTTCTATTGGGTTCAGGTCTGGAGACTGGCTAGGCCACTCCAGGACCTTGAGATGCTTCTTACGGAGCCACTCCTTAGTTGCCCTGGCTGTGTGTTTCGGGTCGTTGTCATGCTGGAAGACCCAGCCACGACCCATCTTCAATGCTCTTACTGAGGGAAGGAGGTTGTTGGCCAAGATCTCGCGATACATGACCCCATCCATCCTCCCCTCAATACGGTGCAGTCGTCCTGTCCCCTTTGCAGAAAAGCATCCCCAAAGAATGATGTTTCCACCGCCATGCTTCACGGTTGGGATGGTGATCTTGGGGTTGTACTCATCCTTCTTCTTCCTCCAAACATGGCGAGTGGAGTTTAGACCAAAAAGCTCTATTTTTGTCTCATCAGACCACATGACCTTCTCCCATTCCTCCTCTGGATCATCCAGATGGTCATTGGCAAACTTCAGATGGGCCTGGACATGCGCTGGCTTGAGCAGGGGGACCTTGCGTGCGCTGCAGGATTTTAATCCATGACGGCGTAGTGTGTTACTAATGGTTTTCTTTGAGACTGTGGTCCCAGCTCTCTTCAGGTCATTGACCAGGTCCTGCCGTGTAGTTCTGGGCTGATCCCTCACCTTCCTCATGATCATTGATGCCCCACGAGGTGAGATCTTGCATGGAGCCCCAGACCGAGGGTGATTGACCGTCATCTTGAACTTCTTCCATTTTCTAATAATTGCGCCAACAGTTGTTGCCTTCTCACCAAGCTGCTTGCCTATTGTCCTGTAGCCCATCCCAGCCTTGTGCAGGTCTACAATTGTATCCCTGATGTCCTTACACAGCTCTCTGGTCTTGGCCATTGTGGAGAGGTTGGAGTCTGTTTGATTGAGTGTGTGGACAGGTGTCTTTTATACAGGTAACGAGTTCAAACAGGTGCAGTTAATACAGGTAATGAGTGGAGAACAGGAGGGCTTCTTAAAGAAAAACTAACAGGTCTGTGAGAGCTGGAATTCTTGCTGGTTGGTAGGTGATCAAATACTTATGTCATGCAATAAAATGCAAATGAATTACTTAAAAATCATACAATGTGATTTTCTGGATTTTTGTTTTAGATTCCGTCTCTCACAGTTGAAGTGTACCTATGATAAAAATTACAGACCTCTACATGCTTTGTAAGTAGGAAAACCTGCAAAATCGGCAGTGTATCAAATACTTGTTCTCCCCACTGTATGTGTTAATTGTAGGGGTGCCCATGGGGCTGGGGATCAGAAATGTCCCATGCGAAAGAGGCAGGTTGAGGTTTCCAGGGTTAGAGTAGGGCAGAAGTTGTCATATGCTGAGACAGTGAAGAAAGTAGAGGAAGATGGGTCAAGGGGGAGGGATCCTGAGAGGAGTGGTGTGAGTAGTAGATCTGTACCAGTACAGAGGGATAAACCAACAAGTGATATATGTTTCAGTAAGATTGGATTTGGGGCATTTCAAACAATGGTTATCAACTGTACTGCAGGGATGGAAGGTAAGTCGCAGAAAATAGAGGTTGTGGTGGCAGCTGCAGAGAGGTATTTGGGAGTGCGAGACTTGACATCAGAAGAGTTACAGGGTGTGTTAAGTGGCGGTGTCCCATCCTTTCAGGCTGTTGGCCTGAAGTAGGACTAAATAGATTAAAATAGTGGAGTATGGTATTTAAAAATATATATATATATGTTTTGTGAGTGTAGTGTTAGATGGTAGGGTATTAGTATTATTATTATTATTATTATTTTGCAATTGTATTTTGTATTATTATTTTTAAAGCAAAGTATAAGGGGGTTATACTCCAGTCTAGTAGATGGCGGTAATGCAACATTTATTAGATGCCAACCGCCGTTAAACCTCATCGAAGAAGAAGAAGAAATTGGAGCGTGCGAGAAGGCCGACGCTCCCGCCTTTGGGAATCTTGTTCCGCGCTCCAGTCAAATTGGGATCGCTCCACTCCACCTACATACTCTGGTGTGAACAGAAGTTGGATGTAATGCTGCTATTTATCCGGTAGATGACAGCAGCGTATGCACAATTGGGCGTATGCACCAAAGTAAGTCCGCGTTGTGGAAATTCTCTGTATTGTGCAGGCCTCCGTAGTTTATTAAACTTTCCTGACTGACACTGACCTGTGTTTTGAAGCTGCTGGAAACGTAGTTACATTTTACAGGAAATGAAAGGTATTTAACAACAGCTACATGGATAACTGAGTAGTTGTATTTTGTAAATCTCGGTCTAGCTTGCTAGCTAAGTAGCCTGGCTAAATTGCCAATCATAACTAAGTTAGCTGTCGTTTATGACTAGCTAGCAATCTCGCTAATTTAGCTAGCGGCTGCATGTGATGGCTGAATGTTGAGCTACTAGCTAAATGTGATGTGTCTTTTTCAGGAGGAATGTGGTTATGATGTGTTCTTTGGCTCTGTTCCCCCCTCCGCTGCCCGGCGATGGAGAGACTTCTCACTACGACGAGTCCAACACAGATCCAGCCGTCAGGTTTGGGGTGGGTGGGCTATCGTATCAATGTCCATCCTACGAATGTTACTAGTCACCACTAGCTACAGCGTAATTTACTGAGTTGCCACAAACTGTCTGTCACTGCATTGCTTGGATGATTAATGTTATCACCTAATATTAGGCAAAGGTGTGTGTGTGTGGTGAGAGCGAGAGATACAGTATGTATAATGTTAAATGTGTTTCCATTTACTGTAGGATTCGCCTGCTCTGAATCTGTACTTCCCGCGAGAGTTACTGAAGCCTCATAGCCGGCCAGAGAGCAGCAGCAAGGCAGCCTTTAGGGACCACTGTGAGACACTGTACACAAGGAGTGCAGGGGCTTGGTGTGTCACTCACTCACGCACGCACAACACACACAGTCCATTCCAAAGCCCTGTTCACTAATCCCCACCTCTGTGTCTGTCTGCTAGGCGTGATGCAGGCCTCTCTGGACTCCTAAATGAGATCGCCAACTCCAGTGCAGAGGGTGAGTGCCATGTTGTCATAATTCTTTCACTGTCATGAAAGTATTACAAGCAGCGTGTTCTATCAATCAAGAGTTTGTATCTTTAAAGACGATCTGAAACATTTTTCCACGGTTAAGGTCATTTTGATAACCAAATGTGACAAAGAAGCATGTTCCTACCCTTAAAACTGCTGGAAAATGAATTTGTTAAAATATTTAAATTTTGCCTCAGCTGACTGCTGTGTGCCACCATCTTCATAACGTATCGTCAATGACATCACTTGAATGGTTAGTTTGACAGGCAGCCCAGATTACATTGCATGTTAGTAGCATCATTGAGAATGTATTTATTTTGACAACAATAAAAACATAGGAAAATAAGTGCCATTTTAGAAGGCTATTCTGTTAGAAACTAGCCAGGTAACATGGCATGATAAATTGACTGTGCAAGGTGGGCTTTCATAGCTAGCCCAAAACCACACCAAGCTCAGCTATCATTGATGGATATTTTGCTATCTAGTGACGTTAGCAGAACGGCTTGCTACAGTGATTTCACTATGGACATTGGCAGCATCATTTGTTAAGTCTCAAAACTACCTGCAATTGATTTAATAGGAGTGGACACTGTTAACAACCCTACATATCTGTAGCTAACTCTTTCAGAACAGACACCTAGCTAGCTAGCTAACTACAGTGGCTTGCAGTATCCCCCCCACCCATTATTTTTACTATTTTGTTGCCTTACAACCTGGAATTAAAATAGATTTTTTGGGGGGTTTGTATCATTTGATTTACACAACATGCCTACCACTTTGAAGATGCAATTTTTTTTATTGTGAAACAAACAAGAAATAAGATTAAAAACTTTTAAAAAACTTGAGCGTGCATAACTATTCACCCCCCAAAGTCAATATTTTGTAGAGCCACCTTTTGCACAATTACAGCTGCAAATCTTTTGGTATGTCTCTATAAGTTTGGCACATCTAGCCACTGGGACTTTTGCCCATTCTTCAAGGCAAAACTGCTCCAGCTCCTTCAAGTTGGATGGGTTCCGCTGGTGTACAGCAATCTTTAAGTCATACCACAGATTCTCAATTGGATTGACTAGGCCATTCCAAGACATTTAAATGTTTCCCCTTAAACCACTTGAGTGTTGCTTTAGCAGTATGCTTAGGGTCATTGTCCTGCTGGAAGGTGAACCTCCGTCCCAGTCTTAAATCTTTGGAAGACTGAAACAGGTTTCCCTCAAGAATTTCCCTGTATTTAGCACCATCCATCGTTCCTTCAATTCTGACCAGTTTCCCAGTCCCTGCCGATGGAAAAACATCCCTACAGCATGATGCAGCCACCACCATGCTTCACTGTGGGGATGGTGTTCTCGGAGCCAGACATAGCGTTTTCCTTGATGGCCCAAAAGCTCAATTTTAGTCTTATCTGACCAGAGTACCTTCTTCCATATGTTTGGGGAGTCTCCCACATGCCTTTTGGCAAACACCAAATGTGTGTGCTTATTTTTTTCTTTAAGCAATGGCTTTTTTCTGGCCACTCTTCCTTAAAGCCCAGCTCTGTGGAGTGTACGGCTTAAAGTGGTCCTATGGACACAGCTCCTTCAGGGTTGTCTTTGGTCTCTTTGTTGCCTCTCTGATTAATGCCCTCCTTGCCTGGTCCGTGAGTTTTGGTGGGCAGGTATGTTGTGGTGCCAAATTATTTCTTTTTGTAATAATTGATTTAATGGTTCTCCGTGGGATGTTCAAAGTTTCTGATATTTTTTTATAACCCAACCCTGATCTGTACTTCTCCACAACTTTGTCCCTAACCTGTTTGGAGAGCTCATTGGTCTTCATGGTGCCGCTTGCTTGGTGGTGCCCCTTGCTTAGTGGTGTTGCAGACTCTGGGGCCTTTCAGAACAGCTGTATATATACTGAGATCATGTGACATATCATGTGACACTTAGATTGCACACAGGTGGACTTTATTTCACTAATTATGTGACTTCCGAAGGTAATTGGTTGCACCAGATCTTATTTAGGGGCATCATAGCAAAGGGGTGAATACATATGCACGCACCACTTTTCCGTTATTTATTATTTTGAATTTTTTAAAAGAAGTTATATTTTTTATTTCACTTCACCAATTTGGACTATTTTGTGTATGTCCATGACATGAAATCCAAATAAAAATCAATTTAAATTACAGGCTGTAATGCAACAAAATAGGAAAAAACGCCAAGGGGGATGAATACTTTTGCAAGGCACTGTAGCTTGCATTGACTGAATACTTGTTTTTCTAGCCAGCTTTTTCTAGCCCAGCTAGCCTCTCCTAGGTTTGGCGCATCTGAAGTTCCTCACTACAAACCATATTGAATACCGTTTTATGCGTAGAGTGACTTCATTATTGTGGGCATTACCATGCAGTTAGCTTGTTGGCTAACACAGTACGATCCGATATCCATGTCAAAACTACTGTAATGTTTAACACGGCTAGACCTTACTCGCTGAATGAACACAAAAACATGTGCAAGTGGGTTTTTGAATGGACTATAGACTCTTATTTGATTCTAGCTACCTGCTTTGTTATTGTGGACATCATGCGTTTAGCTAGCTTACCAATGTCGGGTAACAGTAGAGCCGATGCCCATGTAATGTAGCCTACAGCTGAATGTGCTCAAAGATTTACGCAAATAGATTTTCGACCGGACTATACAGGCTTGTTAACATGGTTGTGAGTATTTTATTGTTTTTCTATCTCAAATTGATTGTTTTAGCTTTTAGTTTATTCACTTCTTGATCAGTGACTTGATCCAAAAACCCATGAGTAAAGTAGGCGTGTGGATGCTCTACCATTCCCATTATGTTGTTTGATTATGGCTGCATCTCTCTAAGCTTGTGCTAGGTGCAGGAAAACCTTAAAATATGATGTTCTAAAAGCATTTTCATAGCATCACGTTCAACAAGGTTACCTAACATCGAAATGTAAAACAATGTTTTAGGTTGAGTTGAGCGTTTCAGTTCCACTTTAATTGTGTGTGTGTTCCCAGTGCCCAAGTGGCTAGGGGTGAGCTCGAGCTGTCTCCTGGCCTTGCTACGGTGGGTTTCCTCCTTCCACAGCTCTCTGTTTCCTCACCTCACAGTAAGTGGCCCAGAGTCAGTCATTTAACATGACTAATACTCAGGCAGTACTAATCGGACAATACAGAACTTGCCAGGGTGTGTTGGATTCTGCAGGCTTCTCTGGCAAATGTAGTCATATAGGGCCACAAGGACCCAGGTTCAAACCCAGTCAAAGGCCTACATATGATATTAGAATGAGTGGTGTAAACATTGAGATCCTATAATGTAATCCCATGGGTGTAAATACATCAATCCCTGGATGTCCACTCTTAGGCTACGTTTACACTGGCAGCCGTATTCAGATCTTTTTTTCCACTAATTGGTCTTTTGACCAATTGCATCAGATCTTTTCACATCAGATCTTTTTCAGAGCTGATTGATCAAAAGACCAATTAGTGGAGAAAAAGATCAGAATTGGGCTGCCTGTGTAAACGCAGCATTACATGTCCAGCTGCTGACATACAGACTAAAACAGATGTAACGTTGTCTTCAGTTGAGCAGAGAGGAAATGACCGCCGAGTTCTCCCAAGTGCTGGACTGGTAAGACCACCTTTTAGTTGATGAATCCCCAATCGGATCCTTAAATATACCCTCTCTTATGTTCTGTATGTCCTTGTCAAATATGAGGTATTTGTTTACTTTAGGGTATATGCTCACAAAGGCATACTCTCTGAAATCATGGCTGAAGTAGGATATGTATCTGGAATTGTCCTCCTGTTCTTGCTCCCTGTGTCTCAGGTCGGACTGTGCAGTGCGGAGCTTTGCCTGGCACCCACACGCACAGAAGTGTGCTGTGGCCCTTTTAGACGACTCCATCAAGATCTACAACACCAAGAGGTAAGTCTGTTGCAATGGTGCTCTCTGTGTGTCGTTGACTATCAAACTCTACGGGCCGGTTTCCCGGTTTCGGATGAAACCTATGTCCTCAAAATCATATTCAGTCAGACCAACCTAGTGCAGTGTTAAACTATGGCACCGTTCCTACATTGTTTACGTACGGTTTGTGAGCACAATATTGTCTCTTTTCTCTGTCTCTGTCTTTCTCTCCCTTAGTGCTACTACTCCCACCCTAAAGCACCGTCTGCAGCGCAGTGTGGCGGCTCTGCAGTGGAAGCCTTTGTGTGCGTCTGCCCTGGCTGTCGCCTGTCACAACTGCCTGCTTGTCTGGCACGTGGACCCCACCTCACTCTCTACCAGGTACGCACACACACACACACACACACACACACACGTGTACATTAGAGAGTCATTTCTATGTCTTTAATGTTCTTTGTCTCCCTCCCACAGGCCCTCCTCTGGCTGTGCCCAGGTCCTGTCCCACCCAGGCCACTCCCCCGTCACGTCCATCGCATGGTCACCTAACGGAACTCTCCTGGTGTCGGCCTCTCCCAGGGACACTGCCATGCTGGTATGAACCGTCTCAGTCCACACACAGCCTCTACTCTACTGCTGCTCAGCTGGGAAAGTATTTTACCGGGATGTTGTAAGGTCTTTTTGACTCTGGCTGTCTGTCTCTCTCTTTCTCACCGTCTCCTTCTCTCTCTGTCAGGTGTGGGACGTAGCTGTGGAGAGCTGTGTGCCTCTCCACCGTGTGGGAGGGGGAGGAGTCACGTACCTGTCCTGGTCTCCCGATGGCAGTCGCGTGCTGGCAGCTACACCCTCCTCCCTCTTCAGGTCAGAGACGGTAGTGCAGGAGAGCTTCACGTAGTGTTGGTCTGCTTGATATTACTGTATGTGTGTGTTATTTACGTGTTTGTGTTGCTGCAGGGTTTGGGAAACCAGGATGTGGACTTGCGAGCGGTGGCCTAGTCTGAAGGGACGCTGTCAGGTGAGATACCTGGTCTCTCTGTGTGTGTGTGTGTGTGTGTGTGTGTGTGTGTGTGTTTGTCTGGCTAACTGTCTCTCTGTAACTGTCTAGTCTGGCTGTTGGAGTCCTGATGGGAGTCGGCTGCTCTTCAGTGTGCAAGGAGAGACTGTCATCTATGCCCTGACTTTCACTGACACCCCAGGTACACACACACACACACAATTCCATGTACAATATGAAGCACACCAACCTTCTACAGTTGTTTCACACTGTGCTGTGTGCTTGCATTGTTTGTTTTGATGTGTTAGTTTTCCATTCTGTCCACTAGGGATGCCCTTAAGGATGTCAGGAGGGCCAAAGGCAGCAACAGTGGTGGCCGACCTGTCTGAGACCACCTTAAATACACCAGACGGAGATATCACGTAAGGAAAGGCCTGGGATAACTAGTCATTTACATGAACTAGTTGTTGATTTATCATTACAGATTGGCTTATTGTGTGTGTCTGTGTGTCAGGGTCGGAGGAGAGATCCAGTCATTGGCGTGGGATCCGAGAGGAGAGCGTCTAGCCGTGCTTGTCAAAGGTCAGGCTTGTTCTCTCATCTCCTCTTTCTCCAAGTTGGGAATTGTGTGTTTGGACATCTTCTCTCCTCCACTCACTTCCTCCCTCATAACTGTTCCATCAGGAGATGCTGAAGCAGGCCGCCCTGCCATGATCGCAGTGTTCAAGACTCAAATCAACCGCGCATTTAAGCTTCTGCCATGGTATGTGCTCTAGTATATTACATTGCCAGGAGGGTGTCTCAGTGTATCTCTGGTGGTAATCAGTTGTGTATATCTGTATGTCAGTGGTAATGACTGTCTGTGTGTGTGTCAGTGGTTTTGTCCAGGGGGAGGCCGGGACAGAGCCCAGACTGATGCAGTTTAACCCCAACTACCAGCGTGGAGCCCAGCTCACTGTGGTCAGTCTCTCTACAAACTCTGCTCTTTACATTCACGGGCCTCCAGTCATTTAGATGTTGCCTCACAGTGCTGCTTAAACTGATCTTAATAAAGCTATAGTTCACTGATAAACTAGAAATGTTAAGCGGTTTTCAAACCTCAAAAGTCATTTATGCCTCAATCCCATTTGAATGGAATAGATGGGCAATGAGACTTCAACATAAAATGGTACATGGTCTACATACTAATCATTCCCTTTTACATGGCTGTTGATGTACGGTAGTTACTGTAAGTCGCTTTGGATAAAAGCGTCTGCTAAATGGCATAATATATTATACACCAGTGAATAAAGCACGAGGTCTAGTGAGGCATACCTAAATCCATCCCAGTGACTGTAGTGATGTTGTCTCTCTCCACAGTGTTGGTCCAATGGGAAGATTACCCACGTGCCTTTCTACTTTATGAGTGCTGGGGCTCCCCAGCCCGGCCTGGGAGGCAGCCCACCTCTCCCCCTGTCCCAGGGCAGACCAGCCGGTTACATCAACCAGACTCTCTACACAGAACTCATCTCCTGACCACACACCCACACACACACTCAAACTAACACAGAAACCATATTTCAGTACAATTTTATAATTTTTTGAACACTTTGTAAATAAATGTGCACGAAGTGTTACGCAAATTGAGAATGATTGTGTCTTTTTGAATTCCTAGTCCAAGACATGGCAAGGGGGTTGGTGGAATGGGGTTAAGATCTAGGCATTTTGCATTTTTGCAAAATAGATAAATAAGGTGGTTTGGAGTGTGTCTTTAATGGAGATTTTCATTAGACTTAAATAATCTCCATGTTCTAAGGCAGGGTTTCCCAACTGGAGATTCTTTAAGTAAGTCTAATGAAAATCTCCATTAAAGACACAGTCCAAACTCCCAATCCCCTTATTTACCTGTTTTGCAAGAATGGGCTGAATTTGATTGGCATCGGGCAGATGCTGCAGATTGGACGGCGGTACATTCATGCTGCGAACAGCCCGTTCCATCTCATCCAAAAGATGCTCTATTGGGTTGAGTTCTGGGGACTCACTGTCATGTTCCAGATAGTGTTTTTCCTCTCCTCAATTGTTCACTGTTGGTGATCGCGTTCCCACTGGAGCCTCTTCTTGTTTTTAGCTGATAGGAGTGGAACCCGGTGTGGTCGTCTGCTGAAATAGCCCATCCTTGACAAGGATCGATGAATTGTGCGTTCCGAGATGCCGTTCTGCACACTGTTGTACTGCGCCGTTATTTGTCTGTTTGTGACCCGCCTTTTAGCTTGCACGATTCTTGCCATTCTCCTTCGACCTCTCATCATCAACGAGCTGTTTTCACCCACAGGACTGCCGCTGAGTGGATGTTTTTTGTTTGTCGTACCATTATCGGTAATCCCTAGATACTGTCGTACGTGAAAAGCCCAAGAGGGAGGCCGTTTCTGAGATACTGGATCCGGCACGCCTTAGGTCACTCGTTTTGCCCATTTTAACATTCAATCGAACAGTAACTGAATGCCCTGATGCTTGTCTGCTTTAGCCACCGGCCACATGTCTCACTGTCTGTAGGAGCGATCAATTTTTGTGAATGGGGTTGACCTAATAAACTGGCCGTTGAGAGTATATGATCGTATACAAATGGAAGCAAGGTTTGAAATGATTCTGTTTTTGTCATAATGCATCTGTTTGGGCTTCTTGCGGTCAATTTGCAGTCTACAAATTATTTATAATTATGTTCCGGCCCCCTGACCATTTGCTCTAGAAAAAATCGCCCCGCGGCAGAATCTAGTTGATGATCCCTGTCTAAGGTAATTAAGTCTACTGTATATTCTCTTAATCTATGCTTATCTTGGCAATAATGTTTTCAATCTTTAAAAAACTATCTGGCATTAATGGTATAGCTTTGCTTTCGGTCAGGAATAATCGAAAAGATGTAGGTCAACATAGATGATATTTGTGATTGTCAATGTAGGTTTGTAATAAGAATAATTTCCCTTTAAATAAGAATATATCACTGTATAGTCTTCAGTCTAATTTTTATTGCTCAGCAGAAAGATACGGAGAGGTACAGAGAGAAGGAAGGTATAGTGGAGAAAGGACACAACGACAAAAGCAGGTCACAAAAACGCTGACAAACACCTATGTGAACATGTCTTGAAGCATCATTAAGACATTACTGTTAATGTACAAAATACTTCACAATTCCATTCAGCACATTTTCTTTATTTATGCCTACTAATTAAAACAAACAGAAGCCAACCATGCCCGGCCCAACCCTGAAACCGGTGAATGATTACAGACAGTACTTTCATTCCTGTGTTATGAGATTTTCTCACAGCTAAACACACACTCAACCGCAGTCTCGCATTCACACATACTCACACACACATGCCATGCACTCACAAACATTAAAAAAAGGTAACTGAGCTCCCAAGAAATACAACTATAACAAAAACATTAAAGTATACAGACCTTGGGTTCAGTTACCCAAATAAAAGTTATTCAACCCCCCTTTGCCATTTTTGTACTTATTCAAAAGAAACACAATTAAAAATCAACTTCATTGTTACTTGGTTTTTCCTTTTTATTTCCAATTTACATCAATTAAAAGTGTAACAAAATAAAAACAAACAAATGATCATAATAAAATTAATAATAACAACAACAAAAATTACACACCCTCACACACACAGAGACAAGCCACCCTGGTTGTTTTGGGTGGCTCTCCTTGGAGTCCCGTGATTCTATTTGTGGGGCATGGACTCCATAGGAGAATACCCAGAAGCCCCTTGGTTCACTGCCTTGCCTGGCTGCACCGGTCCTCCAGGGTGGAGTGTGTGTGTGTGGTGTGAGGCTAGTGGGAATTGGGGGGGGGGGGTTGGGGGAACAATGACAGAAACTGAATTCTAGAACTCATAGCACCTTCTGAAGACAGCAACCCAAAGCAAAGATAGCTATTCAGCGGCAGTTCCACCCGAAAGCTAATTTTGGTCCGCTCAAGATTTAAGGTCAACGTTTTCACTTTGTTTTTCAGCGTGAGGTAGCTTTAAACAATCAGGATGACTACAACAAAAAAACTGATTTATTTCCCCCAATTTTATTAGAACATTTTGGTTGTTTGAGAACTGAGTAAGACATTTTCCACTAATGGGCAATCAAGGGGTAAAGGACAATGAAAAATGCATCCCAAATGAAACCTCACTTTCCAAAAAGTGTTGGTGTGCATGTAGACATGTACACACATACTGTGGGAATATATATAAAATCATCTGGTAGTTTATAAACACAGACTTTTACAACAATAGAACCAAGGATTTATAATACACAGTAAAAGTTTTGCTCCTGGTTTTCATGGTAAAAATCATTTGGAGCACCTTATAATTACTGAAAATATGTTTTGGTCTACATTGATTCAAAATGGCGTATTTGTAGCTAGGTCGGAGAGGGAGTGGGAGGTTCTAGGTGTTCTGTAGTGGGAGGGGCTTGTGTTGTTCTTATGGTGAAGCCCCCCCAGTCCTACTGTACCTCATCTATGGCCCTTTAAAGTTGAGACAATAAATAAGTGACATCGAGTCATGTTTCTGTTTCTCCATTACTCGTCCCTTGGCTTGGTCCCTCTTCCTTTTGGCTCAACTCATTCCCACCAACTGTGGGCCATGGGAAACACGACTGGGGAACGCTGGAATTACATACGGATATTGCTGGTGTCCTTCAGTGCTAGCATCCAGGGAGTACAACTTGGAGAGCACTTCTTTGTGAGAGAAAGTATACATTATTTTATTTTTTAGTTCCGGTCCTTTTTTGGGGAGTGTGTATTGTTTCATAGTTATTTCTTTAATGTTTTAGTTTTTTTGTCGTCTTGTTTAGTCCACTTTACAAGAAGCAGACTGCGCCCACGTCCACACCAAACTCCTGGTCCACTCCTCCGATGTCCAGGGGAGCAATGTCCACGATGGGCAGACGGGAGGTCTTCTGTGTTTTGTACTCGAAAACAGTCTTGCCCCACTGGCCTGTGTGTTTCTGTGGGACGACAACAAAGATGTGTTGAAACACTGTACATTCCCATAGGCTACAATGACAGAAAAAACACTGTTTTTAGACTGTGTAACTGTAGTGTGCCTTCCCCAATAGGTCCTACTATGTCCATATTCTCCCTGTCCCTACTTTACAGTGCCTATCCCTCTCACCTTGCAGCCGTCCTCCACAACGCTGTAGGTGAAGCGGCTGTTGCCCTCGGCTCTGATCTCCACGTCGTTGGAGCCCTGGAGCAGCAGAGCCTTCTTCAGGTTGCCGGTGGATGCGTCCATGTAAGCCACGCTGTCCTTGCAGTGGTAGGTGAGGTTCTGAGATGCTTCCGTGGACAGCAGCCTCAAGAAGGTCAGCTGGATACTGGCGGCGTTGGTACCGTCCTCAGCGTAGTTGAACTGTAGAGGGAGCCGAAGAGCTTAGGGTTAAATGCGACACGTGGTGAGGAAGGGGGCAGTAACAAACATGGAGGTCACACACAGGTTTATGGATGGTATTATTTTATGTGATGTCTATAACTTGTCTGGAAGGCTGAAATATATGTTCAGTCTGTAATTCATAAAAGGAAACACTGAGAGGAAGTGCTTTACTTGATGATCAGGGTAACCCTGGAAAGGAAGTTCTCCTATTCAAGGAGTAGCCATATTTCACTCAAACGTGCCAGTGAAATGATTATTCATGTGAAGAAGAGACTCACGTGGAATCCTCCATTCATGGTCTCTCCGAACCAGATGTGTTTGCGGTCCTTGCTCTTGCTTGTCCACCAGTTCTTGTGTGGTACGTTGGCTATGCTGGGGTACACACAGGTCTCGCCAGTCTCCATGTTGCAGAAGACCTTGATGGCGTCAGCTGTGCTGCCAATGTTAGGATCCACCCAGTAGTTGCCTGGAGAACGAGAGGGGCAGAGGACAAATGGTTCAAACCCTACCATGGTTTGGACTGATCATGTTATACACATGTTCTTTCCTTTCCATTCACTCTCTCTTCTCCCTCTCCTCTAACCATTCCCCCACTCACCGCTCTTCCACTCGGGGTTGGACAGTTTGAGGTCTCTGCAGGTGCGGGCAGGGTTCTTCTGGCTACCGTCGGGGCTGCGCAGGTTCTCGATTTGGTAGTTGAGGGACTTGAGTGTGGAGTCGACCTCCACGTCGTGCTGCCTCAGGGAGCTGGACGCCTCATCAGCCCTCATGTACCTCAGGGGATCCGGAGACTTCTCAGGCTGAGACAGGCCAGCAAAGGCAGACATGTCGATGCCAGGGCCAGGAGGACCAGGAGGACCAGGGGGTCCGGGGTTACCAGGAGGACCCTGAAGGAGAAGAGGAGACGATTGTTACAAGGTGGGACAACATGAAGACTTTAACATATTTGCTGCTATATGTTATGACAAGGGTTACTCACAGCAGGACCAGCCTCTCCAGAACGACCACGAGGTCCAGGGGGTCCGAGGGGTCCAGGGGTACCGTTCGATCCATCCTTACCAGCGGGACCGACTGGGCCAGGTGGTCCCTGAGGAGATGGGGTTAGTCACGGCTCAAACACATGGATGCTAGCATAGCATGTATGAATGGGAGTGTCTTTGTAGAGTGGCTGGAGTCACAGTTAGTTTGAAACTTTTACCGGATGTAACATTGTTCATGTTCAATTGTCCAACAGTTATTCTTGACTATGAGTGAGTGTACACTCTTTAAATAAAAAAACAACCTGCTTATCGGACATTACAAATATAGCAGCTATACTACATTACCAAAAGTATGTGGACACCTGCTTGTCGAACATCTCATTCCAAAATCATGGGCATTAATATGGAGTTGGTCCCCCCTTTGCTGCTATACTAGCCTCCACTCTTCTGGGAAGGCTTTCCACTAGATGTTGGACTATTGCTGCGGGGACTTGCTTCCATTCAGCCACAAGAGCATTAGTGAGGTCAGACACTGATGTTGGGCGATTAGGCCTGGTTCGCAGTCGGCGTTCCAATTCATCCCAAAGGTGTTCGATGGGGTTGAGGTCAGGGCTCTGTGCAGGCCAGTCAAGTTCTTCCACACCGATCTTGACAAAACATTTCTGTATGGACCTCGCTTTATGCACGGGGGCATTGTCATGCTGAAACAGGAAAGGCTGCTCGGCCATAGAAATCCATTTCATTAAGCTCTTGACGAACAGTTATTGTGCTGACGTTGCTTCCAGAGGCAGTTTGGAACTCGGTAGTGAGTGTTGCAACCGAGGACAGACGATTTTTACGCATTACGCGCTTCAGCGGTCCCATTCTGTGAGCTTGTGTGGCCTACCACTTCGCGGCTGAGCCGTTGTTGCTCCTAGATGCTTCCACTTCACAATAACAGCACTTACAGTTGACCAGGGCAGAAATTTGACGAACTGACTTGTTGGAAAGGTGGCATCCTATGACGGTACCACGTTGAAAGTCACTGAGCTCTTCAATAAGGCCATTCTATTGCCAATGCTTGTCTATGGAGATTGCATGGCTGTGTGCTCGATTTTATACACCTGTCAGCAACGGGTGTGGCTGAAATAGCCGAATCGACTAATTTGAAGGGGTGTCCACATACTTTTGTATATATAGTGTATCTCTCTATGGGTGATAATTATTCACATCCTTTCCCTCCTCTTTATCATGTAATTAATCTTTATGGGTTATTTTTTAAGTGGTAGCCTCTCCTGTCTGTCTTCCTCTCTACCACAACGTGGTAATCACAAAAGCATTAGCCTTCCCTGTTATCACAGGACAGACTAATTAAAACACAGTGTCCATTCCCATCCTCTACCTTATCATGGTGTTGGAGGATTCTAAAAAGACTAGCCTTTGCCCCTCATTATCATAGCAAGGGATAACCAGTGTATAGGAGTAGTCCATTTGTCTTATCATAGTCTGGAGGGATTAGAGAAGTGTTCTGTCCTTCTCTTCTCTCGTCTAAACTCACTTTAGCCCCACTAGGTCCGGCAGGTCCAGCAGCTCCCTGGTCTCCAGCGGAGCCCTGTTAGTTTAGACAAAGACAACTGGAAGTCAGGGAACAGAACTTATTCCACATGCAGAAGTGTCATGAATACAGTTCTATGAAGATGGAGAAGTATAATGACTAAAGGTGCAGTGTGGCCAGAGGACTTGGGTGACTTACGGGAGGTCCGGGAAGACCCTGCAGACCGGTGAAGCCACGGTGTCCCTTCTGTCCCCTCTCTCCTGTCTCACCAGCCTCTCCCTTGTCTCCACGGGGTCCTTGGGGTCCCTGATGTAGAGGCAGAGAGTGTCAATCAACTCAGCAGAAACATTGTGTGCAAATGCAGGTGCAGCTACAGTAGGAATAGTTTATTAGAGAATGGTGTGTTTCAAAATGAGGGATGTTGACACTCACAGCCATTCCTCTAGCGCCAGCTGGTCCAGCGGGTCCAGCAGGTCCTTGAGCACCCTAAAAACAAGAGTGAGGTTCTTCCATTAGACAGGCTAACAACAACCAAACTAGTATGAAATACAAAACACCATCATTTATCTCATTCATATTGTGTGTAGTTTTGTATGGGTACTCACTCCCTCTCCTCTGTCTCCCTGCTTGCCCAGGGGGCCGACAGGGCCGGGGGCACCGGGAGCGCCAGGGGCACCAGGAGCACCAGCAGGACCAGTGTTACCACGCTCACCCTACAGGTGGAGAGAAGATCATAGGATATAAGGACATCCAAGAGCATTTGATATCTTATCCATCAATTGGATTGATTGGTTTGGACTGATTGGTTTGATTGGTGTATAATGCAGGCATCTCACCTTGACTCCAGTGGATCCATCTCTGCCAGGGGGTCCATCAGATCCAGCGTTGCCCTGTAAGGTAGAGACAGAGATTTAATCATTAATTGAAATGTATTGCTTCCAGTCATGAAGATAGCGTCGCTATGGCCTATACCTCTGTAATTGCTGCATGCAACTACAATGGCCTATATTTGTTGTTGTGGTTTATTTATGTTGTGGTTTATGTTGTTGTTGTGGTCTGTGCTGTTGTGGTTTAGTTCTGACCTCTCTTCCGGGCTCTCCTGCAGGTCCAGACAGTCCAGGGGGTCCCACAGGGCCAGGGGGTCCACGGTCACCACTAGCACCAGAAGCTCCCTGCTTACCGGGCTCTCCCTGGGACACACAGAACATGGACATCAGACTCAACATCAAGGAGTAAGTGTCAGACGTCACCACAGTCCAATTATATCTCATGTCTATAACTGCAACAATGTAATATTTGACTGACTAGTCAATGGACTCATGGACTTCATTATTAATTTGCATGCTAAGTAGGACATCAGCAACTGTCTAAAAGCCCCTATGTGGTAAGAAAAACACACAAAAAAACAGTAGGAAGTAGTATGATGGACATTTAGTTCTGAATGCATCTCAGTTACAGCCAATTGGTCACTGAGTGATCGACTTCTTTGTGACAGATTTAAGGAGAAAGAAGTCTGGATATAGATCTGTCATTATGAATGTATGTGGATATCAGGACTCCATGATATTACACAGGCAATCACTACAGGCATCCCAGATATGATATTAGAGTAAATATGTTGCGTAGTTACCGATCAATGGTGCAGGACTAGTGGGAGTTATATGAGCCTGGACCTAAAAGGTTCTCAGGCCAATTTTCATTAATATTAATAGGTATTTTAGCTTATAAAGAGAGCTCAACTTACAAGTGGACCAGTAAGGGCAATGGTTCCATAACACTCACCTGAAAATACTGTGACAATTTTTACTCACTAATCATAGTACTATCAGGGGTGAGATACTCACAGAAGGTCCAGGAAGGCCAGGGAAGCCCCTCTCTCCACGCTGCCCAGGCAGACCAACAATACCACGAGACCCAGCCAAACCATTGGGACCTGGAGGACCATCAAGACCCTAGAGATGGAGGAGACAATAGGTAAAAGTTTACTACATTGACTTCACAACTCCAGCTCTAGCTCAATGAGTTCATAACTCCAGGTTTAGCTCATTCAGTTCATAACTCCAGTTCTAGAAAGTCAGGCACATTTGAAATGAAGTGATAGACAATCAAGGTGGCTGAGTTGGTGTTACTAGGCCTACAAGGTACATCCATTAAGCTGAAAGTAACTGTCCAGTGAAAATCTCACTTTTAAAAGTTGATATTCGGTTAACTCATACCCAAATAATGTCGTTGACTCGTCTTATACTCGTATTTGTGGCCAAAGCATAAATTGGAGAAAAAACACTTAAAATCCCACCTCAAACTTGTATCTTAAACAGACCATTTAAAAAATGCTTGCTATTTCCTCATAGAGAATGCCTCTTTGGCTGAGCTGGCCAATCAGCGGTCTACTCGCATTAATATCTTTTATGACTGGTATACGCCCACACCATTCTGTTGTTGGGGCACGCCCACACCATTCTGTTGTTGGGCACGCCCACACCATTCCAAGAAAAGCTGCTTTTTTTCATACTTTTCCTTCCAAACATTTTTTATTAAGCATTTCACTCATTGTAATTAATTAAAGGTCATATTTCATAGAAATCTAGAACCGGACAGTTACTTTAAGAGGCTGGGTGGCATTTTCTCTGTGAGATATAATTTAGCTAATTTAAGAGTGGATGGGTAAGACTCACAAGGGGACCATCCTCTCCAGCATCTCCCTTCTCCCCAGGGGCTCCAGCAGCTCCACGCAGCCCAGCGTCTCCCTGTCTTCCTGGGGTGCCAGCATCACCGCGAACTCCCTTAGGACCGTCTTTACCAGCAGGACCAGCGGGGCCAGCAGCACCAGGGTTACCCTGAGAGAGGGAACAGAGAGATGCAGCATTTTTCAATCACACAGCTATACACAGGTAATCTGAATGAAAAGGTAACTTTATATTGTCTATGGATACTTGTGATGATGTGATACTCACGTTGGGACCGGGAGATCCAACTCTTCCAGCAGCACCAGGGAAACCAGTAGCACCCTACCAACAAGAAAGGGACAAGACAATATTTCAATGAAAGCAATTACAGAACATAGCATTTTATATTTTCACTTACTATTGGGTAATAATCTCTTATCATTGGAACTGTTGACTTACAGCGGCACCCTGGGCACCACGAGCTCCTTTAGGTCCAAAAACACCAGTGGGTCCCTGGAATAAAAAGCAGTGATAAACACAATTAGACAAAGAAACGAGAACAATGAAATAAGAAGTGCATCAATTTTGTTCTCAAATACTCTCAATTTCTTATACTACGAATGGCAATGTATTGGGCCATAAGACATCTGTCTCTGGGACATACAGGTATTTGGTATCTCAAAGTGCATTTCGAGGGGTACCTACCACAGGTCCAGGGGCCCCAGAGGGTCCCTGAGGTCCAGGGGCACCACCATCTCCCTTCTGTCCAGCCTCGCCCAACTCTCCCTTGGCTCCAGGCTGACCATCTGCACCCTGGAGGTTGGTGGATGGAAGATACAGGTCAATAAAGATTCAACATTTTATATGGATTATATTAATGTTTTCATTGAAACTGATGTGATTGCTGTGGTTCTACTCACAGGAGGCCCAGCGAAGCCAGCAGGCCCGGGAGGACCACCCTCACCACGGTCACCCTACAGGAAGAGAGAGACGGACTCAAAACAGGTACCACAGAGAAAGATTTTCTAACTGTAGATGTATGTGGCCCTGTCCGTCATGTTGCAGGTGCAGTGATTGAATGTGGAGGAGGCTGTACTCATCAGAGGTCAAACCTTTTAGAATGAAATATATTCTTAGGAATTTAGTGTACTTGGAATTTCCTTTTACTATAACTGTGTAGGCCGGGCAACTTGGATAGTGAGTGGTCTTGGAATCAATATGAACAATATCTTGACATCAAAATGTCTGGTGACTTTGACTAAGTGATCTAATATTTTGATCGGTAGAGCTCTACATTGTTTCACGACAGGGTCTGGTTCCTCTCTAGCTTCTTCCTGCTCTCTGTACTGGAGGGAAGTGAGTTAGCACTTTGAACATTTCAAACCTGAGCAGGTTGACAACGTGGCTGATTTTAATACAAATCAAAAAAACGGACGATATGACACCAGAGGCGGAGAGACCCAACTTACAGGAGCACCACGAGCACCAGCAGCACCAGTTGGGCCAGAAGGTCCACCCTCACCCTGAGAGGGAAGGAGAGAGGAGAGTGACAAACCCGTACTGTACACACATTTACCAGCATTACTACATTACAACCATCTGTTAAATGAATATTAGACCATAGACATAATAACAGGTTATTTGATCAGTATGGTAATTCCTACCTTTACGCCGTTGGGACCAGCTGGGCCAGGAGGACCAATGGGACCAGTCAAACCCTAAGTGGGAGGAGAGAAGAAAGATGGAGTTATTATCAACCACACTTGGTCATTGGATCATTGTATTTCCATTGGGTCATTGGATCAGAGTTGCCACAGGAGAGTGTGGCTATTTTCTCTATTTCTGCTCAGTACTCACTCTAGAACCATCCTTTCCAGGAGCGCCCTCAGGTCCTTTCTCACCGTTGTCACCCTGTAAGACACAGAAAACCATGACATCTTAGTATGTATCTATCAGACATCATGATATAACCTTGCAATCCACCGTCTAGTTTTCTACAACAATGATTAGATATTTTTGAGGGTTGTTACTCACTCTGTCACCTTTGGCTCCGAGGATACCACCAGCTCCTCTCTCTCCTGGCATACCCTGCAGGCCGGGGGGTCCCTGAGCTCCAGCACCACCAGCTGGCCCAATGGCTCCCTGTCAGAGAGGAGGAACATGGAGTTAGAAGATGGCCGATCACACTGTTTCTGATGTTTCTCTCTTCAGTAGTGGCACTGTGATTGCCTGACTATAGGGGCTCAGGACTCAGTATCCAATAACAACGTAAACTCTTATTGAAGACAAGGTTGGCTGAGGGGAGTGGCTCCTAACCTTGGGTCCATCGGTTCCGGGAGTTCCAGGAAGTCCACGAGGTCCCTGCAGACCATGAGGTCCAGCACCGCCCCTCTCACCAGGGAAACCACGCTCGCCCTATCAGGGAACAGAGAGACAGGAAGTGAGAGGCAGAAACAGGAAGAACTACAGACATAAAGGTTTGACAAGCAGATGGTGGTGGCTAACTACATGATTATGACAGTAAGTGAGAAAAACATCTAAATCAGACTTATTGTAGAAATGAAAACTCACTCTAGGTCCAGTAGCACCAGCAGCACCAGCCTCTCCAGGAACACCCTACAGAGAGAGGATAGAGACATTGTAGCTGCATACTTTTACAGTAGATAAATAATACCTTGAGAATACAGCAAGTGCTTGTGTTTGCTAGAATTACTTGATCAGGATACAGGCCTGAGGTGTGTGATGACAAATGTGATGTGAGTAGCAGGGTTAGATGTTCCTAATGTGATCAATAAATCAGGAACCTGGACAGGCCTGGTGTGTTGCTGTGACAGTGGACACTCACCGCATCACCAGGCTTGCCTCCCTCTCCTGGGGGGCCAGCAGGTCCAGGCAGACCCTGCACAACAACACAGGACAATCAGTGACTTCCTATGACATCATCAAAAATAGACATCAAGATGTTCTGAATAGAATCATCATGTTCTAGCCAATCCAGAAAAGTAAGGTGAACTCACCTGGAAGCCAGATGGTCCAGCAGCTCCCTGCTCTCCTCTCTCTCCAGCAGGTCCCTAGGATGAAAGCAAACACAGGTGATTACGTGATTGACACAGGTAATCAAATCGGCAAACACAGGTAATCAACACAGGTGATCAACACAGGTAGACAGCAACCGCACCCTGTGGAGCTGTGTGGAAGTTTGGGAATGCCATCGCATCCTCAAGTGCTCAAAGAGAGATGCTAGCTATTACAAATACTATGGCTACAGTTATTTTGTTATAGGTGCACCACAGAAATAGATGATATTACTATGAGGTGCAGTTTCACTCCTTAAGAAGCAGTTGTATATTGCTGTGTTGTCTTTTACAACGTCTGTAAGAGGGTGAACACTTACAGCAGGGCCGGGAGGTCCAGCAACGCCAGTCTCACCATCTTTACCAGCCAGACCCTGTTCAGAGAGAGAAAAATGTATCAGTTCATCATGAACCACCACTTCAAAGGAAAGACTTGGATCGATGTCCGGTCCTCCACTTTGTCATTTCTTGAAACATTATGGGGGTAAAATACCAAAATTGCACAAATGTGAACTCAACTTTGCTAAGACCAAGGGTTACAGCAAGTTAATCTGAAAAGTTGATCAACTTACTATCAGACCTTGACGACCCACAAGACCCTTCTCTCCTGCCTTGCCAGGCTCACCCTGTTGAGAAAAATACACACTGGTCAGTCACAGAGAAGAAGCAAAGACATGTGCAAGGGGACTTAATTGGGACGTTTTCCATGCAGCTACTGTACTGTATGTGTCTGTCAGATACTGTCTGTATCTAGTGCCGGAGGCAAATCGTCCCTCTGGGTATCAAAACTTTATTGGAAACCCCTGTGACACTTACATTGGCTCCCTTTGGTCCAGGGAATCCCATCACACCAGGCTGGCCACGTGCTCCCTGAGGACCAGGTGGGCCGGGGCGACCATCCTCACCAGCAGCACCCTACACAGTACCACACACAGAGGAGAGAAGAGCAAGTCAGCATCACTGGAGATCTAGTACATGGAATCTCCAGTGAGATCTTGTGCATCTCATGGGTTTGGAAAGCAAAACTCTGTATTACTGCACCAAATCTTGGTTAATTGTCTGGTAAATGTTTGGTAAGAGTGGAATACTAGACGGTGCTAGACGGTAAAAGAGGCATACTTACACCAGGACCAACTTTGCCTTGAGGACCAGCATCTCCGGGGCGACCAGTGAGACCCTGTGAGCATCACACACAATGACAGTGTCAACATTATACATGAAGATAGATACCAATTTAAAGCAATGATGAGTCACAGCTCTTGTCAATGACTGTTCTGGCTGCTGGTGGTGGTGGTGGTGGAGACCAGGGGTACTACTACTTACTCTGGCTCCGGGAAGACCAGGCTCTCCTGTGCGGCCGGGATCACCAGTGCCTCCCTTAGGCCCACCCACGCCGGGAACACCACGGTCACCAGGGGCTCCCTGAGGAGGAAGAGGAGAGAGATTAGTATTTGCTTTTATCACTCACATTTAAACAACATTGTTTATTAACTGTGATTAGCTATTGTATTAATTATAGCTGGTAAAAAAGTAAAGGTATTGCTGGCACCAGTAGTAAATATAACAGCTTTTATTTTATTTTTTAACTACTCAGGGTTCTACATGAACATCTTCTTACAGTTAGGGACTAATTTAGTAGAATTAGTTGTTATAGTGATTTTGCAACTACTCTTGTCCATTCCTGTCTATCAGGTGAGATGTGGCATTGAGAACTGTAAAAGTGTTAAATCAGCATTGTAAGACCCACCTTAGCACCAGCAAGACCATCCTGACCTGGGAAACCACGGTTACCGGGAGCTCCCTAGAAACAAGGACAGAGAGAAGATTTCCATGATGAGGAATAGGATATGGGAAGAACTGATATGACCTAATGACACAGAACAAAAACAAAACAAACTGTCGCCAGATCTGTGATGGTTCAGATCCTTACTCTCTCGCCAGGAGGTCCAAGTGGTCCAGCAGCACCGGGCTCTCCTCTTGCTCCTCTCTTGCCCTCCTCTCCAGCGGGGCCAGGGCCACCTTGGGGACCAGCAGGGCCCTACAGGGGGTGATCAAGAAGATGCCTGATTAATCCCAAACATACTTCCAAGTCCAACTCAGTTGAGTGAAAATGTCCATGTGTAGTTATGATATTATATGACCCATCAAAACAGAACTCACAAGCTCTCCCTTGGGTCCAGCCTCTCCTTTGAAACCAGGAATACCAGGGTCTCCCTACAACAAACACAGGAGCAAAGTCATCATTCTAGAAATCACTCAGAACAGTTGAAATAGGAATGAAATGACTCCCAGCACATGGGTTTCCCCCTAAGAAAAACCAATAAGCACCACCAACATAATATTAGGGTGTCCAGGTTTTGGGGTGAACATGGGGGACCTACCGACTGTCCCTTGGGCCCAAGAGGTCCTGTTGCTCCCTGAGGTCCGGGGGGGCCACGGGGTCCTGGGAAACCAGGTGCACCAGCAATACCAGAAGCGCCCTACAGAACACAACTGAGTGTTACTGACTGAGTAGTAGACCGATAATGGTGTCCAAGAGCACTGTTATTTCATGCTGAGTATAGAAAGAGTGTAGAGGGTACTTTCTAAACCATATAGTGTAAGAGTATACTTACAGCTGATCCTTTAGCTCCAGGGATACCATCAGTACCAGGGTTGCCCTAAAGGAACAGAGGAGCAAAGTGAAGAGACGAAAACAATGCATCGATTTAATTATGAGAGATAGTCAGTATGAGATAATACACTTCAGACTGTATCACACAGAGCCTGGATGTTACGTACAGAGGCGCCAGCGGGACCGGGAGATCCGGGTGTGCCAGCCTCTCCGCGGGGTCCCTGTGCGCCCTCAGCTCCACGGGCACCAGTGGGGCCAGCTTCTCCCTGTAGAATGGAAGCGATTCACAGGACAATTAGGACTGCCGTTGCTTCTCTGTGTAACTGTTCTTCAAACTGCACTCGGTGATGAAGTCAAATGGTATGGGGATTGGTGCTCATTGTCTCCAAGAGATGTGATAGACCGACATACTGTGACAGTTCAAAGTGACTCTTCTGTGTCCTTGAGGTAGCGTGACTGTGAGAATCTCATCTCATTGCAGCTTATCATTATTGATCACCTCGTCAGAGTTTATCACTCGTGATCTAGTGAAATGAAGTGTCTGACCTCCATGATTGGTGGAAATTCAACAGACACACCCTTTATCACACCAACAGGCTTCGATTGGGTTCATGACTGACATGATGGATGGGAGAAAGAAATGAAGAATTTCCAAATTGTACATACTGTAATTGTAAATAGTACAAACCTTGGAACCAGGGGATCCAGGGAAACCGGGTGCTCCAGCAGGTCCAACAGCCCCCTGTAGGAATCACAGTTCAAATGTCAGAGTTCACAAACTCACTAATTCCTGGTTTTGTTATTATCCCACAAATACAACATGGACTGGGAGAAACAGTCAAGGCGGTCCAAATCTATTAGAAAATATGCACAATTGTGATTGTGCTGTAATAAGAGAAGTGTATTATTGATTTCTGCATTTCAGTATCTTGTACAACAATAATAAAAGCTATATGTCTTTGAAACAGTGAGGAACCAATATGAGGAGCTCATACGTACAGGAGGACCAGCAGGGCCAGGCAAGCCATCATTACCACGGGCACCCTGAGGAGAGAGCAGACATGGGAGACATTATGATGATGGTAGGTACTGTGGGGTGTTTATGGATGGACTCATTTACAACATTGAGATAGTCTCTCTAGACATCCGGGTTGCCTCCCACAATGTTTCAATATTCCGGTTTAAAACACCTAAGGTTGGCTTTACGAGACGACCGTTAGGCAGGCTTATCATAATTGTAATTTTGACTGTAATTGATTTTGCTACACAGCCAGATTGAGAAGGTCTTTATCGGGTGGCAACATTAACCAAAGAGAAAGTCCCAAACACTAGGCTGGGATTGTCTGGTAGGTGAGTGTACAGAATATGATTGGGTCTGGTTAGGATTGATTGGGATTGGGGACATAAACGGTTGAATCGATATGGCATATCATTCAGCTTTGGTGTATTACTAACCTGGGGTTGTGTATTGTTCAGGAGTGTATGGTTTAATCAGAGAGTGTTGAAGGTAAATGTCTGTGTAATTACTCACAGCAGAGCCAGAAGGTCCGGGACGGCCTCTCTCGCCAGGCAGACCACGTGGTCCCTACAGGAGACAAGTGATGAAAACTCAGCTTGGTCACATTCAAGTAAAAGTTACAGGAGGAGAGTAAAAGCTTTATACTCATAATATTCAGGTAATACACATGTGTAACGCTCTCTTACCATTGGTCCAGGGGCGCCGTTCTCTCCGGGAGCACCACCCTCACCCTATAGAGAGGGGACAGTCAGTCAGTTAGCCAATCAGACAGTCAGATAGTCAGACAAATAGACACAGAAATAGAAACTCTTAAGATTTGTTGAATAGAAGATCTTGGCCGAAGTCTTACCTTTGCTCCAGCAGCACCACCCTCTCCCTTAGCTCCATCAAGACCTGGATGACCCTACACACAGACAGACAGACAGACAGCAGGGAGTCACTTCATCAGGACGGATTAGTCCTACATCAGCCCCATTAGACTGATTTAATGAACACTAATTAGCTAATCTATTATGTTGCTAATCATGTTGGACGTGTAACATCATAATATCCTTTCTGATGGAGATGTGATTATAAATGAAGCATGATGAAGCACCCACTCTGTGTCCTTTGATTCCGGGAAGACCAGGAGTTCCGGGGAATCCACGAGCTCCCTGAAATAAAGTGATAAATGAGGAAATTGGATACTGAAGGATTCTGTGTGGGATTCAGCTGTAAAAGGAACTCCTAGCTTACGATATGGAATATTGAATTGATCAGTATATAGTAAGATGTAACAAATGCAATTGATGATAAAAACTTAGTCTGTAGGACATAAGAGAACAGTTATCCATGGCAATGTGCTCTAATGTTGTGGACATGGATTTCTGTATTTTTTTCTACTGTAGTCTAATCTGTCAGGGTTTACCTGAGGTCCTGCAGGTCCACGTTCACCAGCCTTTCCAGGTTTGCCAGCATCACCCTAGAAATAAAGAAAGGGAGATTTGATTCAAATCAGGAGTTTATCAACTGAATAGAGAAGGTGAATGCCCTCTGGTGGACATGTTTGTGTACAGTATGTTGGGGGGGGGGGGGGGGGGGGACTGTAAATGGCTAGGAGTTTAGGATTTGCTAAAGGGACATTCAATGAATCAATTGTGTTATAAATGGTAGGTAAGTGGGTTGCTTTGTGGACTGCTTCGGCGACACTGTGTCAAAGAGGATCATGCTTGTGTTTTTAAACAGTGGGGAAGAAACAAGGTCCACTCTTCATGATGGTCCTAGGGGTACTGGAGTATGGCCTGACTAAGTCAATAAGGTAGTGATAGTTTGGCCAGGTGCTCTCTATTTACATATGAGGAAGTTGAAGTAAAAAAAGCATATTCAGATCTCTATATCTGATAGTGCTTGTGCTCTACTTGTACATGGCTTTGACAACCTGAGCCATGGATCTGGTTGAAGCCTGGCATGGTTCTGGCTTTGTTGATGAAGATGACAATACTTACATCACTTCCTGGTTTGCCAGAAGGTCCAGGGGGTCCTTGGGGTCCCAGTGCACCCTGTCATAAGGAGAGAGGGCTTGTTGTCATTGATGTGTAGGCCTAATTGGTGTGAACAGACTAGTGTAAGAAGCTACCTTCCTACAGTTAACTAAAATTAAACAATGCAATTCTGCATTCACTTCATGTTTTCAGTGCCTATAACCTTTGAATTCTCACTGCCAACTCTAATGAAAATGTTATGTAGCAGGCACTCATGTTTAAAAAGGGAACCCTGTCTATTCCTGTCTATTTATATCTGACATTCACAGCATGTAGAGGAAGGGGAGCATTTTCCTGTTGCTAGTGGTTTGATTTTAATGATGGGTAATGATGTTGGTGATTTTCACTTGAGCTCTGAGGGGGACGGAGCTCCATGTGATTCTCACATGGATAGACATTCCATCCACTTATACAGGTCAGGGGTTAGAGGTTGAACTGGGTTGAGTGGGTTTATGAGACACTTTCACAATAAACGCTAATTTCTCTCAATCATATAGCCCTCAATCGAACACTGCTTCCTAGATAGCTAATGCTAGAATGCTCTGGTGCTGTTGCTAAGCTCTACGCATAATATTTCTATGTTGGCGTTGTGGCACAGAGATGTGTGGTGCACCCTGGGATAGTTTGGGATACTCACAGCTGGGCCTGGCTCTCCAGTCTCTCCGGGGTTACCTTGGAAACCTTGTGGGCCCTGGAAATGATTAGAAGGAACTTTAAGTCAAAGACATCCTAATAGTCTGCATATTTCTATAGGCGTAGGGTGTCCACATTAGGGATCCACATAGTATATTAGGATACAGGTAGACCATAAATTAATCTGGTTTATCCGTCCTATACAGAAGGTCAAAGGGTCAAACACTATTCTACTGCACTGTCTTATGTACATAGACATGACACAATGTCAGTAGCTATTAGCTATTAATAGACAGTAGCTATTAGACAACATTCTCCTTCTGTTGTGGTTATTACTAGGGTTTAGAGAGGTGTCCAGCCCACAGTAATGAAGGTGTGTATACTTACAGGGGCTCCAGAAGGGCCAGGTGGACCACGGGGACCCATAGGGCCCTACAGGGGAAGAGGGAGAGACATAATGAGAGGAAATGTATAATATTGATATCAATTCATAGCTCAAAGACTGTTAGGGTATTTCTATTTAGTCATGTCTTAGGAAAAAACACTTGAATTGTCAGACATCCCATTGTATTCAAATAACGTGGCCTGTGTGTCTTATGATGTTGCCCTATAATTAGTTAGAATTGTGATCAAGGTTTCAGGCCTTGGTTATCTGGTGGTATGAAAAAAAAAGAATGAAAATAAATAAATACAGTATATGTCAATGGGTTGTCCGTTAGCATAATAGACTGTAGGTTGACTCTTATTTGGGAATTGGGGGAGGGGTCATATGCTTCCAAATGCTGAAGGGCGTATCCATAGATATGTAAATTCATAGTCCATAAATAAGATATATTTCATGATAATTTCTATATCTTTGTTACTGACTGTCGTTATAATAGATCTCATATTCCATACCAACAGGACAGCATGAGCTATCAATTTGGTATGCCAGCACAATCTATACTACAGTATGTTCCATCCAGTGGTTCATTTCCAGCACAAGGTGGCAGTCTGGCTTCAATACTATCTTCAAGTCTGTAACACAGCATGCTACTACCGCCCTACATTATTTACCATATACCTATCTCTTTAGCTTAACACTATGATTTCATTTGTTTCATTCATTCATTTGAGTCTTTTTTAACCCTCTGGATTCTGTTAAGTTCATGTAACGTTACAGTAGCATCTCTTGTCCTCTTACCATAGGTCCTTGCATCACTCCCATCTGTGCGCCTCCAGCTTTCTCATCGAATCCACCAGCCATCTGAGCAGCAAAGTTCTGCAGAAACAACACGGGTAAAGATACGTTGTTAGTGTATTGATAGCATCTACAGTAGATGCACTGCCCCCTGGTGTCCACCAAAGCTTTCACAAGTTTTATTTCTGCTATACAGGATATATGACCTCCCCACTGCTCTGAGGAAACAAAGAATATGGTGGGACATTTACTTAGCAGTTGTCAGAAGGGATTACATTGGTGATATTGACTGTGGTACAGTAGCTTACCAATGTGTCATCTGTCCTTCTCTCTCTATTCTTATTCTACTAACTAACAAATAGGCTTATGGCTTAGTCTCTGTCACACAGGTGTGTGTGTGTGCGAGTACACATACACACACACACACACATCTGACAATGATAATATACCGATACTGTACTGCTGGTGCATCAACAGGGAGTGCTTCTCTGCACCACGAAGACATAAAAAGAGATTATGTGTGGCGGTGACATCCTCTCTCATCTACTCTACTGTCCTGTCCTCTACTGTCCTGTTTTCTACCATTACATTTTACATTACTACCACTTACCCCACCAAGACCTGGGGGTCCGTTAGGTCCGGGAGGGCCAGGGGGTCCGGGGTTCCCAGGGGTGCCAGGCTCGCCATCTCTGCCTCTGGGGCCAACATTTCCCTAGGGAAAAGGAGAGAGGGACAAACACATTCAACATTGGGTTCAATACATAAACATGTTCAGTATTATCAACTTTTATTGGGAAAGGTGAGTGATTGATATTGTTGCATGGCTTTGATGGTGTTGTTTGCCTTAGGAGACTGTATTACTGAATGTAATTCTGTTCGCAATCAATCAATCAACAAATCAGTCCATCACCCAAACAATCAACCAATTAACCAATCATTCAACTGTAATACATCAATTAACCTTTCAATTTGCTGCATAACTTGCCTGGCTTGTGGTAGAATAACTGCACAGAACGTATTAAGGTGCTTCAGGGAGCTTGCCACTATTTTGTTAGAATCTTATAGTACTATTTTAGTCTTTATAAAGTTGAGTCTTCTCCATTTGGGGGAGGTTTTCCACAATAAGGCCGCATATACTGTATACCTTACTATCGTGGATCTAAATTCAAAGTCTCATACATTATAAACTAGGCAGCAATTACAGATGTTGAATGGTTAGCCCTTTATTTCAGTCCATACCACAGACATATTCCTTAGCATCACCTGCACAAAGGTGACTGGGATTTACTGTCTTACCTTATCACCCTTAGCTCCGGCTTCTCCACGTGGTCCCTGCTCGCCTAAGGGGCCCTGCACAAACAAACATATTAGGATGAGCAAGATGCTTGACAAACAGAGTACTTCATCAAGGATAATGTTCTGGGGCAAGATGCACATCAGAATTCATCAAAGATATTCTGCAAGGCAAGATATACACCACAAATAATATCTCATGGAATTTCTGTCATTATAATTAATAAAACAAATGAGCAAATAAATATTTGAGAATATGTTTACCATAGGGCCTGCTGGTCCATTTGGTCCTACAACCTGGACAACAGAACAGAAAGGAGAGCTTGTTCAGTTCTCAATGCTTATTGGGAAGAAAGTAGTCTTTTCAAAGGCCTGATGTCTTTGCTACGGTGTAGGGTTGCACTGATTTGAATAGCTAAGATGCTGGGGAAGTACATTCCAGGACATGGCCATGGACAAATAGCACAAACTAGACTTTACCAGGAAGTCTATTGACAGTTACTTTAGCTGAAAAAACATATTCTGCTTGTCAGGGTTTGTTCATTTTCCAAGAAGCCTAGCATATCAGTGAATAAAAAAGTTACTAAATGAATGTGAGAGGATTGGTTTGGGTCCATTATGTCCTAGGAATGTAGGCTTCCTTCCATGTTGTCAGTGAAGGCACAAAAAAAATCGGTCTAAAACCACCAAGTTCAAAGCATGGTAGCTAATCACTTATCAACTGGAGGCTTTGGCTCTTTTGGAATCATATGATTCCCCAAAAGAAGAAGAAGAAGACGAAAAATGCTGAGTAGAGTCAACCCTGATACTGACTTAAGACTGACTTAGATAGCTATACTGCATGTATGTGAGTTCTAAGTGAGGCTATTGTAAAAACGTGTTATGGTGTTATCATTCTAAGTAGACGTGCCATAGTCTCTTGTTCACTAATTCTGGGGAATGGCATGCATGGGTACCTAAAAAGGAGCTTCAGTGCCTTCATTGACCAAAAATCCCTCTATCACTCTGATTGGATGGACAAACAAATCTTCTGATCTCTTTCTATGTGAGCGTGCGCTATAGTGCATGCCCTTGCATACAGCAGCTTATAATTTACTGTATGCTTGAATAAGACTGAGAAGAAATTACTACATGAGATAATAAACCCCTTTGTGTCCCCTGAATACTAGCGCAATTATTTGACTATACAGTAAATCTGAGTGTGCATACTTACATCTGCAATCTCGCCTGGTTCCCCTTTCTGGCCCTAATAGAATAAATGAAAGTCAGTGGTCAGTGGTCTTAATGGTGGTCAGTGGTCTTAATGGTGGTCAGTGGTCTTAATGGTGGTCAGTGGTCTTAATGGTGGTCTTAATGAAAGTCTCTGGTCTTAATGGTGGTCAGTGGTCTTAATGGTGGTCAGTGGTCTTAATGAAAGTATTTGGTCTTAATGAAGACTTTGTCAGTATAAAGACACATAATATTCACATCATGTAAGTCTAAAGTATTTTAGAGCCTGAGTGTGTGGATGATTATATACAGTGTTTAGATGATCACGTGGGTGATACAGTCTGATAAATATTGTCTAAATGACACATTGTTCATCCAACAACAGAAAATATCCTTGTATTTTGCACAGTCATTGTTATTCCTTCACAACAGCTTTCAGGGTGGTACGTCATATCATCGTTTCCCATGGTCTCACCTTAGCACCAATCGCCGCCTCTGATGTTGCATACGGGGTGAAGAGGACGAGAGAAAGAAAATAACATTAAAAGGTGAACTTCAGACTGATGATAGCTGTGTGGGGGCCAAATCTCCAGAGGTTGAACACTCCAGATTAAAAGGAACACCTGTGGAAACCAATGGAAGCCAAAGACCATACTCCAAACTCCATACTCCAAACTCCATACTCCAAGACACCGACAACCCATCCAGAGTGGGTTTGAGGGTTAGCTATAGTTCCATGTTGAGGGGATGGGGCCAAAAGCAAGCAAAGCATGGGGGTGGGACAGATGTTTGGATCAAATCTTCTGTGTCAATATAGCATATTTTGGAGCCAACTACAGAACACGTTGAATAAATGGCTTTAGGGAGGAGCGTATCATGTTATGAAATGGCACATTACATGGTTATTATGATAGATTGTTAGAACTAAAATGTATATCTCCTCAAAAGTCATTAAAGTTTAGGCTACTTAACAGAAAAAACATGACGCATCGAAATGTTTAGTTTTTAAAGACACTACTACATTTTTCAAAATGCATGAAAATGTTATGTTTCAGAATATACAGTACCAATCAAAAGTTTAGACACACCTACTCGTTCCAGGGTTTTTCATTATTTTTACTATTTTCTACATTGTAGAATAATAGTGAAGACATCAAAACTATGAAATAACACATATGGAATCATGTAGTAACCAAAAAAAAGTGTTAAACAAATCAAAATATATTTGAGATTTGAGATTCTTCAAAGTAGCCACGCTTTGACTTGATGACAGCTTTGCACACTCATTCTCTCAAACAGCTTCATGAGGTAGTCACCTGGAATGCATTTCAATTAACAGGTGTGCCTTGTTAAAAGTTAATTTGTGGAATTTATTTCCTTCTTCATGCGTTTGAGCCAATCAGTTGTGTTGTGACAAGGTAGGGGTGGTATACAGAAGATAGCCCTATTTGGTAAAAGACCAAGTCCATATTATGGCAAGAACAGCTCAAATAAGCAAAGAGAAACAACAGTCCTTCATTACTTTAAGACATGAAGGTCAGTCAATATGGAAAATGTCAAGAACTTTAAACGTTTTTTCAAGTGCGGTAGCAAAAACCATCAAGCGCTATGAAGAAACTGGCTCTCATGAGGACCGCCACAGGAAAGGAAGACCCAGAGTTACCTCTGCTGCAGAGGATAAGTTCATTCGAGTTAACTGCACCTCAGATTGCAGCCCAAATAAATGCTTCACAGAGTTCAAGTAACAGACACATCTCAACATCAACTGTTCAGAGGAGACTACGTGAATCAGGCCTTCATGGTCAAATTACTGCAAAGAAACCACTACTAAAGGACACCAATCAGAAGAAGAGACTAGTTGGGCCAAGAAACACGAGCAATGGACATTAGACCGGTGGAAATCTGTCCTTTGGTCTGAGTCCAAATTGGAGATTTTTGGTTCCAACCACCGTGTCTTTGTGAGACGCAGAGTAGGTGAACGGATGATCTCCGCATGTGTGGTTCCCACCGTGAAGCATGGAGGAGGAGGTGTGATGGTGTGGGGGTGCTTTGCTGGTGACACTGTCTGTGATTTATTTAGAATTCAAGCACACTTAACCAGCATGGCTACCATAGCATTCTGCAGCGATACGCCATCCCATCTAGTTTGTGCTTAGTGGGACTATCATTTGTTTTTCAACAGGACAATGACCCAACACACCTCCAAGCTGTGTAAGGGCTATTTGACCAAGGAGAGTGATGGAGTGCTGCATCAGATGACCTGGCCGCCACAATCACCCGACCTCCACCCAATTGAGATGGTTTGGGATGAGTTGGACCGCAGAGTGAAGGAAAAGCAGCCAACAAGTGGTCAGCATATGTGGGAACTCCTTCAAGACTGTTGGAAAAGCATTCCAGGTGAAGTTGGTTGAGAGAATGCCAGGAGTGTGCAAAGCTGTAATCAAGGCAAAGGGTGTCTACTTTGAAGAATCTCAAATATATTTTGATTTGTTTAACACTTTTTTCGGTTACTACATTTACATTTGAGTCATTTAGCAGACGCTCTTATCCAGAGCGACTTACAGGAGCAATTAGGGTTAAGTGCCTTGCTCAAGGGCACATCAACAGACTTTTTCGGGGATTAGAACCAGCGACCTTTCGGTTACTGCCACAACGCTCTTAACCACTAAGCTACCTGCCGCCCCATGATTCCATATGTGTTATTTCATAGTTTTGATGTCTTCATTATTATTCTACAATGTAGAAAATAGTAAAAATAAAGAAAAACACTGGAAAGAGTAGGTGTGTCCAAACTTTTGTCTGGTACTGTATATAACATGGACAATGATTGAAATGTGAAAGCAGCTTTGGTTTATTTGTGTTGTTTGATGAGCAAATATGACTGTTCTATGTTCAAAGTGAATATATATTTGAATCTTGACAGTAATATTACATTTGCACTCTATATTATCATATGTTTGCCTCTCTTCTCTTTGCTTATGTTGTCTACTTTGTGTTGAGCCTGGGAGTACACTCTTAGAAAGAAAGCTGCTATCTAGAACCTAAAAGGGTTCTTCAGCTGTCCCCATAGGAGAATCCTTTGTAGAACCCTTTTGGTTCCAGGTAGAACCCTTTTGGGTTCCATGTAGAACCCTTCCCACAGAGGGTTCTACCTGGAACCAAAAGGGGTTATCCTATCGGGACAGCCGAAGAACCCTTTTTTCTAAGAGTGTAGGTTGGTTCAAGTCTGGTAAAGTGAAGTACAATAATGACTCCCACATGTGTATGTCACTGGAAATAGGATCATAACCATACATGATGGGAGTACATGATGAAAAAGAAGGAAAAGCAGTCAAAATGTTAATTATTACACAGTGATGGAGGAAATGAGACTTCAGAACCCCAAAGTGGGTGGGACTATCATGTCTTGTCAATCATTGTCTTATTTCACCCAATAGGATCGCTTTGATGTGGTGGGAAAATAGCTTCCATTGGACAAAATGACACAGTGATTGGCTGCTCAGGATAGCTTCTTAGCCACTATCCACTAGTTAAAGCAAACTTAGAAGTGTCTCGTTTTCAATATTGACCCTTGTTGTTTTAAGTGGAAGCCAGATGCCACAACTGTAGGATTAAACTCCTCATGAAGTGAACATCCATAGAGAGGGATAATCCAGAGGATGTTGCAGGTCTTGTCTCCAACCCAAAACAAGCAGGGGAAAAGGTAACACTTTTGAATAGGGAACATCACACCTAGCTACTTATAAATCCCTTTAATACCAATTTATGAGCCACAAAATCTGTCCTGACTCCTGTCCAGACTCATGTCTGCACACCAAAGTCATGAACAGTACAATAAGCCACTGGGGACCTGTTAACCCCAGTTAACATATGAACTACCATTTAGTTCCCAATTCAAAAGTGTTGGCATGTTAAAAGGGCGCAGTAATTTATTTATGATTGTGTGAATAAATAAATTACAACCAGTGGGGCCGCTGGCGTCAGCAGGGCAGATGGGGCAGCACTCTCTAGGTTGGATGATGGGGTTGGCACACTCTCTGATCTCCTCGCAGATGATCTCATCACACAGAACTGACCCGCTGTCACACACACAGATACGACACGGCTCCGGCCTCCACACATCCTTATCGTTATAGCGATGGGCATCCTGAATGCAGCCGCCTGCCTCCTCTGTGGCCACCGTCAGGGGGTGGTACAGAGGGCAGGGGGTAGAGATGGGTTGGAGGGTGGTGGTGGATGGGGGAAGTGGCAGGAGAGGGGTAAATAGGGATGGGTGGGTGTCAAAGAGGGCATGACAGTGATCATAGTGTATAGGTGAGGGGGGCGCATGGGTATGAAAATGGCAGGGTCGGGTGGAGGGCAAGCAGGATGGGCATTGAGTGCAAGATGGGGTGGAGGAGAGGGATGGGGTCAGAAGGTAGACAGGGGTGAAGGTGGGAGGAGGAGGGGGGAGAGACACAAGTTATCAGCTTAGCATTAGGCCTAATTTATACCACATGCACAGCATCACAACACTCACACACATGACTTCACCCACAGGATGGGGGAGTCTCCACCCCCAATGGGGGACAATCAACAGGTTTCACAAAAAATGTTTTCATGTAACCTTTATTTATCCAGGTTAGTCTCTTTGAGATAAATCATATATTTTTCAAGAGAGACCTGGTCCAACCAAGACAGCAGCAGGGGGAACAATATTTGAGACAAAAATCAGACATACTGTAACAAGTTACATAGATACACCATAAAAAGTATATATGTTTTGACGTAGACACAAATACATTTCAATTACAGAAACATACAAGCGTCAGAGATAAAAAATCACTCACATGTACCAATGAAAATCACATTCCTCAGGAACATGTGAGTCAAACAAACTTTTAAACTCCTCCAAGGAAACAAAATCCTGGAGTTTCAAGCTGGTCTGGAGAGAATTCCAAGACCACGGTGCCGAGTAGCTAAAACACTTTTTGCCATGATCCGATCTGAGTTTAGGAACCGTTAAAAGTAAGTAGGAGTGACCTTATCAAAGAAGAGCAGAGATGTCCAGCATCACACGAAAGCATTAATTATCAACCATATTAAAGACAAGCATATCAGCATAATTTATACAAATGTATGGCATCAATATGTCCATCATCCAGGTATTAGACCTAATAGACTAATCTCAAAACGATACAACATGGATTGGCAGCATGGCAGACTGGATCTTTCAAGGCACTGGTCTGGGTGGGTGCTGATTCAGAACATTGATTTTACCTGAGGGCCGCAGTCTCACAAGATCTAATTGTTTATTTTCATAAAGCAGCACAGCTCAACAAGCCTCATCCAGGTTGATTTATCCTGCACCCAAACTGCTATATTCAGTAACTCCAAAGGAAGTAAAAGCAACAAAAGTATCCATTCAGATTACAGTAAACATATGCAGGAGGATTCTGAGGCAGCTTCCATGCAACCAACAAAGAGTACATTTAGCATTTACAGTAGAAGTAGGTATTTCAAGTGGTGGGGTGTGTATATTTAACCTGTAGGCCTACTGCGCTCCCTGGTGACCAGTGGAACTGTATGAATGAATCCCTCACACTGGGAGACTGTGCCCAATTGACAAGCTGCTGCCTTAAGTAAACAGGGGGTCCTTCTAAAATTCTCCATCTGGATCTCATAGCTGTGTCAAGCGCCAGTTCAAACACATTGGAGAATTGAGAATGGGTAGCTTTCATGCATAGGTTCTAATGTTGGGCTACTAGGCTAAATATAGCTATTTGTTTTTGTTGCATTTTTTGTGAAAGTGGTTGTTAGCACTTACCTGCTACCAAACTATACTATATAACAAATGAGTAAACCATTTAAGCTTTCCCCACATAAGGTGGGGTTGGTTGGTGGCATATTGTTCCACAACATGCCATTGTGGCAATATATATATGGAAGCACAATCCCTAACTCCTTACTAAATGCTTAAAACTACTAGCACACTGGGCATGTGGCCCCTAAAAGCTATTCTTTGGAGTACTTAAGGAGAAATGGATGAAAAATGTTAGGCTATGTGGCACAAGTCCATGAATATGGGGAATGTAAAGCAACACATGATACATTACACATTGCATAATGTGGTGTAGCCCATTTCTCCAGCAACATACAGTAGTATCCTGTTTCATAGTTTCTTCATAAAATATCCCTTCCTCTCTTTTATTGAGTGACCAACTGCCATTCACTTCCTGCTACCCTTTGAGCCTTCTAGTCTGGGGTCAAGCTGTGTCTGACCCTGTCTTTTTAAATTATGAATATAATTAATTATTTCAACTATTTCTGCCACAGCACCAAACAATTACACTTTTAATCCCACTAGTCTAACAAATAGTCACCTTAAACAATATAACTATTCTTTTGAAATCAGAATGTTTTCTCAGGGGAGTAAATGCCAAAGTAAAGGTTTTCTAAATTGCCTAAAAAGCTCTTGAACTGCCAAAGCATCTCAAGTGAGCCACTGTGTCTCCTCTGTTGTCTCCACCAAATGGTTTTGTGTTGTTAAATACTGGCACCACAACTCGAGCGAGCGACAGGATCCACAGTGAGTATCCAGGAGTGAAACAAACGGACACTTGTTCACCTGGTTCTCCATCCCACACAGATGTGCCTTGATATCCTCACCTATCCTCCCAAAAGGAAGGTAAACTCTTTCATAGGCCCCATATATTTGCAAACACTTACAATGTAACCAAAATGTAGTAATTTATGCCAATATCAAACCAGTATTAGGATGTTAATGTTCAATTCAATACCATTATTTAAATAGTTAAATAGTAATTTCTTAAGTTGATATCATGTACAGTTTAACAGTCCAGATAATTAACATTTAATCTCTGAATTGTATCTGCAAGAATTCTAATTCATAATTGTGCAATTCCTCCAATGAACGACAGATATATTGGTATGTGTTTGTGCCCTCCATCAATGCCAATGTACCCAAGTGGTTCACAAAATCACATCCCATTCTCATATCTTATGATATGCATATTCGTTGTGAAGGTGAGAATTGCGCAGAAACTACAAACTTTGAATGCCAAGGTAGTGCCACAGACGCGCAGAAAGTAAAATATGAGTTGATAAAATGGCATCATCAGAAGAATACAAACTTTTGCTAAAGATAATTCAACAGAATGATGTAACTTACGGTCATCCTCTTCCTGGCATCTGACAATGGATACTAAAACAACTTGGGATGCTACAAGTAGCAGAACAGTCCGTGAATCCACAAAGCTGAACATGTCTAAATATTAAAAAAGATGGGACGGAGCAGACGCGGCTCTCTTTCAATTAAGTGTGTGTGTTCCCAGAGACTACAACCGAACCATGCAGTCAACCTTCCAAAATCGAAGTGGAATCCAACGCGGGGCCCCAGCCGGCACTTTACACCCACCGCGTCAGGGCAAGAACAGCGGTTTTATGTCCACTGTACCTTCTACGAATCTTCGTATATTCCAAAATACTAGTCCTCCCCCCGACCCCCAGTCGAGCTTGAAACCAAACCCACATCTCCCTCCCCTCAGCACCATCATCATCTATTCTCCTAGGGACCTCTTTCTTTCTCCCATTCCTCCCACGCCCTGCGAGGACGAGGTAGCCTACTTATAAATCGCACTTTTTGGTTATCTCTCGAACCCCAATTGGAATAGCGTGCAGTATGGTCACTCACCTGGCAAACTCACATTCATCGATCATTTGGCATTACAATATTTAAAGTAGACCTTTTCAGAATGTCGCTCAATAGGCTACAATAACCAATAACAGATTTGCCATTTTACAATTTGCAGGTGGATTTAGGCCTTCACTAATAGGTCTACCTTCATATTCAACTAATGTTTATTCATAGGCTTTGTTTTATTGGCACTTAAAATAGGCAACTCTATTCTATATGAGCTTATAACAAATGTGTAATGCAATAGTGACCTGATGTCTGAATTACTTATAAATCATGTCTCTTTTGATGCAATGGTATTGGAAGTCTACCTGGGATCATGTCCATAGAGTTGCAGTTTAGACCTAGGACCCAGAACAGCCCTACTCAGGTCAATAGATGAGAAACAGGTTTTTAAGATGGATCAGCTATTGTGCACACAAATCTATATGATTACTGTATGAAAGTCCATGTATTCCCCCAAGAGGAGTTAGATCTCCTCACTGAGAGTGAATGACACTGTTGACCTGTCCACCTACAGTCGTGGTCAAACGTTTTGAGGATGACACAAGTATTGGTCTTCACAAAGTTCGCTGCTTCAGTGTTATGAGATATTTTTGTCAGATGTTACTATGGTATACTGAAGTATAATTACAAGCATTCCATAAGTGTCAAAGGCTTTTATTGACAATTACATTAAGTTTATGCAAAGAGTCAGTATTGACCCTTCTTTTTCAAGACCTCTGCAATCTGCCCTGGCATGCTGTCAATTAACTTCTGGGCCACATCCTGACTGATGGCAGCCCATTCTTGCATAATCAATGCTTGGAGTTTGTCAGAATTTGTGGGTTTTTGTTTGTCCACCCACCTCTTGAGGATCGACCACAAGTTCTCAATGGGATTAAGGACTGGGGAGTTTCCTGGCCATGGACCCAAAATGTCGATGTTTTGTTCCCCGAGCCACTTAGTTATCACTTTTGCCTTATGGCAAGGTGCTCCATCATGCTGGAAAAGGCATTGGTCGTCACCAAACTGTTCTTAGATGGTTGGGAGAAGTTGCTCTCGGAGGATGTGTTGGTACCATTCTTTATTCATGGCTGTTTTCTTAGGCAAAATTGTGAGTGAGCCCACTCCCTTGGCTGAGAAGCAACCCCACACATGAATGGTCTCAGGATGCTTTACTGTTGGCATGACACAGGACTGATGGTAGCGCTCACCTTGTCTTCTCCGGACAAGGTGTTTTCCGGATGCCCCAAACAATCGGAAAGGGGATTCATCAGAGAAAATTACTTTACCCCAGTCCTCAGCAGTCCAATCCCTGTACCTTTTGCAGAATATCAGTCTGTCCCTGATGTTTTTCCTGGAGAGAAGTGTATCTTTGCTGCCCTTCTTGACACCAGGCCATCCTCCAAAAGTCTTCGCCTCACTGTGCGTGCAGATGCACTCACACCTGCATGCTGCCATTCCTGAG